TCTATGGGCAGTGTTGAGTCTATGGTGCAGTGTTGAGTCTATGGGCAGTGTTCAGTCTATGGGGCAATGTTGAGTCTATGGTGCAGTGTTGAGTATATGGGGCAGTGTTGAGTCTATGGGTAGCAGTGCTGAGTCTATGGTGCAGTGTTGAGTCTATGGTGCAGTGTTGAGTCTATGGGTGGCAGTGTTGAGTCTATGGTGCAGTGTTGAGTCTATGGGGCAGTGATGAGTCTATGGGTAGCAGTGTTGAGTCTATGGGCAGTGTTGAGTCTATGGGCAGTGATGAGTCTATGGGCAGTGTTTAGTCTATGGTGCAGTGTTGAGTCTATGGTGCAGTGTTGAGTCTATGGGTGGCAGTGTTGAGTCTATGGTGCAGTGTTGAGTCTATGGGCAGTGCTGAGTCTATGGGCAGTGTTGAGTCTATGGGCAGTGTTGAGTCTATGGTGCAGTGTTGAGTCTATGGGCAGTGTTCAGTCTATGGGGCAATGTTGAGTCTATGGTGCAGTGTTGAGTATATGGGGCAGTGTTGAGTCTATGGGTAGCAGTGCTGAGTCTATGGTGCAGTGTTGAGTCTATGGTGCAATGTTGAGTCTATGGGCAGTGTTGAGTCTATGGTGCAATGTTGAGTCTATGGGCAGTGTTGAGTCTATGGTGCAGTGCTGATTCTATGGGCGGCAGTGTTGAATCGTCTATAGTACCAACACAAAAAATTATAAAAGCGCGCTAATCTGAACCCCATATCCGAACACTTAGACGAGACCACGACAAAGTCGCGCTATAAAATTCGCTTCTAAAAAAATGTTTTTGTAAAAGTCTAACAAAAAAAAATCGGGTGACGTCACCAACGAATCATGAACTCGCGCGCGCGCGACCCTTGACCCGGCGGAAGTAAATTTTGATTTAAAGCTTTCGTGACTGCAGTAATTCATATTCTTAGTTTTTTCGGTAAAGTCACGTTGAAGAGAAACAACAAAATAACAAAATATATATAAAACAATAAAAAATTCTCACGACGTTTCGACCATAACTCAAACGGTCATCATACAAGAATAATTGTTAAACCATTTTTAGTTTGAAAAAAGACGAATTCAATAGCGAAGAGCGTCACGGCTTGTGAAGCGACGACGCTCCACTCATTTTACATTTTTATTACGTTCCAAGTTTTAAAAATAATAATTTTAATTCGGTAACCCGGAAGTTTTATACTTTTCCCGTGACCCGGAAGTAATTCGCTTTGCGCGCGAACCGACCCTCCCCCCTCAGCTTCCGGTATCGACTCGGCATGGAAGGTAACGCATAGTTCACTGTCAATTAGTAGGATTCACTGTCAATTAGTAGGATTCGCTGTCAATTAGTAGGATTCGCTGTCAATTAGTAGGATTCACTGTTAGTGAGGTTCACTGTGAGTTTGTGGGGTTCACTGTTAGTAGGATTCACTGTTAGTGGGGTTCACTGTGAGTTAGTAGGATTCACTGTTAGTAGGATTCACTGTCAATTAGTAGGATTCACTGTCAATTAGTAGGATTCACTGTTAGTGGGGTTCACTGTGAGTTTGTGGGGTTCACTGTTAGTAGGATTCACTGTTAGTGGGGTTCACTGTGAGTTAGTAGGATTCACTGTTAGTAGGATTCACTGTCAATTAGTAGGATTCACTGTCAATTAGTAGTATTCACTGTCAATTAGTAGGATTCACTGTCAATTAGTAGGATTCACTGTCAATTAGTAAGATTCACTGTCAATTAGTAGGGTTCACTCAATTAGTAGGAATCACTGTTAGTGGGGTTCACTGTCAATTAGTAGGATTCACTGTCAATTAGTAGGGTTCACTGTCAATTAGTAGGATTCACTGTTAGTAGGGTTCACTGTCAATTAGTAGGATTCACTGTTAGTGGGGTTCACTGTGAGTTTGTGGGGTTCACTGTTAGTAGGATTCACTGTTAGTGGGGTTCACTGTGAGTTAGTAGGATTCACTGTTAGTAGGATTCACTGTCAATTAGTAGGATTCGCTGTCAATTAGTAGGATTCACTGTTAGTAGGGTTCACTGTTAGCGGGGTTCACTGTGAGTTTGTGGGGTTCACTGTTAGTATGATTCACTGTTAGTAGGATTCACTGTCAATTAGTAGGATTCACTGTCAATTAGTAGGATTCACCATCAATTAGTAGGATTCACCGTCAATTAGTAGGATTCACTGTCAATTAGTAGGATTCACTGTTAGTGGGGTTCACTGTGAGTTTGTGGGGTTCACTGTTAGTTAGTAGGATTCACTGTTAGTAGGATTCACTGTTAGTGGGGTTCACTGTCAATTAGTAGGATTCACCGTCAATTAGTAGGATTCGCTGTCAATTAGTAGGATTCACTGTTAGTAGGATTCACTGTCAATTAGTAGGATTCACTGTTAGTAGGATTCACTGTCAATTAGTAGGATTCACTGTTAGCGGGGTTCACTGTGAGTTTGTGGGGTTCACTGTTAGTAGGATTCACTGTTAGTAGGATTCACTGTCAATTAGTAGGATTCACTGTCAATTAGTAGGATTCACCGTCAATTAGTAGGATTCACCGTCAATTAGTAGGATTCACTGTTACTGGGGTTCACTGTGAGTTTGTGGGGTTCACTGTTAGTAGGATTCACTGTCAATTAGTAGGATTCACTGTCAATTAGTAGGATTCACTGTTAGTTAGTAGGGTTCACAGTTAGTGGGGTTCACTGTGAGTTTGTGGGGTTCACTGTTAGTTAGTAGGATTCACTGTCAATTAGTAGGATTCACTGTCAATTAGTAGGATTCACTGTCAATTAGTAGGGTTCACTGTTAGTGGGGTTCACTGTTAGTAGGATTCCCTGTCATTTAGTAGGATTCACTGTCAATTAGTAGGATTCACTGTTAGTGGGGTTCACTGTGAGTTTGTGGGGTTCACTGTCAATTAGTAGGATTCACCGTCAATTAGTAGGATTCACTGTCAATTAGTAGGATTCACTGTTAGTGGGGTTCACTGTTAGTTAGTAGGATTCACTGTTAGTAGGATTCACTGTCAGTTAGTAGGATTCACTGTTAGTGGGGTTCACTGTGAGTTTGTGGGGTTCACTGTTAGTAGGATTCACCGTCAATTAGTAGGATTCACTGTCAATTAGTAGGAATCACTGTTAGTGGGGTTCACTGTTAGTTAGTAGGGTTCACTGTTAGTGGGTGAGACTCCCATAGGGTTCAGTGTTAATGAGTGAGACTCCCATAGGGTTCAGTGTTAATGAGTGAGACTCCCACAGGGTTCAGTGTTAATGAGACTCCCACAGGGTTCAGTGTTAATGAGTGAGACTCCCACAGGGTTCAGTGTTAATGAGTGAGACTCCCATAGGGTTCAGTGTTAATGAGTGAGACTCCCATAGGGTTCAGTGTTAATGAGTGAGACTCCCATAGGGTTCAGTGTTAATGAGTGAGACTCCCACAGGGTTCAGTGTTAATGAGTGAGACTCCCATAGGGTTCAGTGTTAATGAGTGAGACTCCCATAGGGTTCAGTGTTAATGAGTGAGACTCCCACAGGGTTCAGTGTTAATGAGTGAGACTCCCACAGGGTTCAGTGTTAATGAGTGAGACTCCCACAGGGTTCAGTGTTAATGAGTGAGACTCCCATAGGGTTCAGTGTTAATGAGTGAGACTCCCATAGGGTTCAGTGTTAATGAGTGAGACTCCCACAGGGTTCAGTGTTAATGGGTGAGACTCCCATAGGGTTCAGTGTTAATGAGTGAGACTCCCATAGGGTTCAGTGTTAATGAGTGAGACTCCCACAGGGTTCAGTGTTAATGAGTGAGACTCCCACAGGGTTCAGTGTTAATGGGTGAGACTCCCACAGGGTTCAGTGTTAATGAGTGAGACTCCCATAGGGTTCAGTGTTAATGGGTGAGACTCCCACAGGGTTCAGTGTTAATGAGTGAGACTCCCATAGGGTTCAGTGTTAATGAGTGAGACTCCCATAGGGTTCAGTGTTAATGAGTGAGACTCCCATAGGGTTCAGTGTTAATGAGTGAGACTCCCATAGGGTTCAGTGTTAATGAGTGAGACTCCCATAGGGTTCAGTGTTAATGGGTGAGACTCCCATAGGGTTCAGTGTTAATGAGTGAGACTCCCATAGGGTTCAGTGTTAATGAGTGAGACTCCCATAGGGTTCAGTGTTAATGAGTGAGACTCCCATAGGGTTCAGTGTTAATGAGTGAGACTCCCATAGGGTTCAGTGTTAATGAGTGAGACTCCCATAGGGTTCAGTGTTAATGAGTGAGACTCCCATAGGGTTCAGTGTTAATGAGTGAGACTCCCATAGGGTTCAGTGTTAATGAGTGAGACTCCCATAGGGTTCAGTGTTAATGAGTGAGACTCCCATAGGGTTCAGTGTTAATGAGTGAGACTCCCATAGGGTTCAGTGTTAATGAGTGAGACTCCCACAGGGTTCAGTGTTAATGAGTGAGACTCCCATAGGGTTCAGTGTTAATGAGTGAGACTCCCACAGGGTTCAGTGTTAATGAGTGAGACTCCCATAGGGTTCAGTGTTAATGAGTGAGACTCCCATAGGGTTCAGTGTTAATGGGTGAGACTCCCATAGGGTTCAGTGTTAATGAGTGAGACTCCCACAGGGTTCAGTGTTAATGAGTGAGACTCCCATAGGGTTCAGTGTTAATGAGTGAGACTCCCATAGGGTTCAGTGTTAATGAGTGAGACTCCCATAGGGTTCAGTGTTAATGAGTGAGACTCCCACAGGGTTCAGTGTTAATGAGTGAGACTCCCACTGGGTTCAGTGTTAATGAGTGAGACTCCCACAGGGTTCAGTGTTAATGAGTGAGACTCCCATAGGGTTCAGTGTTAATGAGTGAGACTCCCACAGGGTTCAGTGTTAATGAGTGAGACTCCCATAGGGTTCAGTGTTAATGAGTGAGACTCCCATAGGGTTCAGTGTTAATGAGTGAGACTCCCACTAGGGTTCAGTGTTAATGAGTGAGACTCCCACAGGGTTCAGTGTTAATGAGTGAGACTCCCACTAGGGTTCAGTGTTAATGAGTGAGACTCCCATAGGGTTCAGTGTTAATGAGTGAGACTCCCACAGGGTTCAGTGTTAATGAGTGAGACTCCCACTAGGGTTCAGTGTTAATGAGTGAGACTCCCACAGGGTTCAGTGTTAATGAGTGAGACTCCCATAGGGTTCAGTGTTAATGAGTGAGACTCCCATAGGGTTCAGTGTTAATGAGTGAGACTCCCACAGGGTTCAGTGTTAATGAGTGAGACCCCCATAGGGTTCAGTGTTAATGGGTGAGACTCCCACAGGGTTCAGTGTTAATGAGTGAGACTCCCATAGGGTTCAGTGTTAATGAGTGAGACTCCCACAGGGTTCAGTGTTAATGAGTGAGACTCCCATAGGGTTCAGTGTTAATGAGTGAGACTCCCATAGGGTTCAGTGTTAATGAGTGAGACTCCCATAGGGTTCAGTGTTAATGAGTGAGACTCCCATAGGGTTCAGTGTTAATGAGTGAGACTCCCATAGGGTTCAGTGTTAATGAGTGAGACTCCCATAGGGTTCAGTGTTAATGAGTGAGACTCCCACAGGGTTCAGTGTTAATGAGTGAGACTCCCACAGGGTTCAGTGTTAATGAGTGAGACTCCCATAGGGTTCAGTGTTAATGAGTGAGACTCCCATAGGGTTCAGTGTTAATGAGTGAGACTCCCACTAGGGTTCAGTGTTAATGAGTGAGACTCCCACTAGGGTTCAGTGTTAATGAGTGAGACTCCCACTAGGGTTCAGTGTTAATGAGTGAGACTCCCACAGGGTTCAGTGTTAATGAGTGAGACTCCCATAGGGTTCAGTGTTAATGAGTGAGACTCCCATAGGGTTCAGTGTTAATGAGTGAGACTCCCATAGGGTTCAGTGTTAATGAGTGAGACTCCCATAGGGTTCAGTGTTAATGAGTGAGACTCCCATAGGGTTCAGTGTTAATGAGTGAGACTCCCATAGGGTTCAGTGTTAATGAGTGAGACTCCCACAGGGTTCAGTGTTAATGGGTGAGACTCCCATAGGGTTCAGTGTTAATGAGTGAGACTCCCATAGGGTTCAGTGTTAATGAGTGAGACTCCCACAGGGTTCAGTGTTAATGAGTGAGACTCCCATAGGGTTCAGTGTTAATGAGTGAGACTCCCACAGGGTTCAGTGTTAATGGGTGAGACTCCCATAGGGTTCAGTGTTAATGAGTGAGACTCCCATAGGGTTCAGTGTTAATGGGTGAGACTCCCATAGGGTTCAGTGTTAATGAGTGAGACTCCCACAGGGTTCAGTGTTAATGAGTGAGACTCCCACAGGGTTCAGTGTTAATGAGTGAGACTCCCAGAGGGTTCAGTGTTAATGGGTGAGACTCCCACAGGGTTCAGTGTTAATGGGTGAGACTCCCATAGGGTTCAGTGTTAATGAGTGAGACTCCCATAGGGTTCAGTGTTAATGAGTGAGACTCCCACAGGGTTCAGTGTTAATGGGTGAGACTCCCACAGGGTTCAGTGTTAATGGGTGAGACTCCCACAGGGTTCAGTGTTAATGAGTGAGACTCCCATAGGGTTCAGTGTTAATGGGTGAGACTCCCATAGGGTTCAGTGTTAATGAGTGAGACTCCCATAGGGTTCAGTGTTAATGAGTGAGACTCCCACAGGGTTCAGTGTTAATGAGTGAGACTCCATAGGGTTCAGTGTTAATGAGTGAGACTCCCATAGGGTTCAGTGTTAATGAGTGAGACTCCCACAGGGTTCAGTGTTAATGGGTGAGACTCCCACAGGGTTCAGTGTTAATGAGTGAGACTCCCACAGGGTTCAGTGTTAATGAGTGAGACTCCCATAGGGTTCAGTGTTAATGAGTGAGACTCCCATAGGGTTCAGTGTTAATGAGTGAGACTCCCACAGGGTTCAGTGTTAATGGGTGAGACTCCCACAGGGTTCAGTGTTAATGGGTGAGACTCCCACAGGGTTCAGTGTTAATGAGTGAGACTCCCATAGGGTTCAGTGTTAATGGGTGAGACTCCCACAGGGTTCAGTGTTAATGTGCGAGTATCCCATAGGGTTCAGTGTTAATGAGTGAGACTCCCATAGGGTTCAGTGTTAATGAGTGAGACTCCCATAGGGTTCAGTGTTAATGAGTGAGACTCCCATAGGGTTCAGTGTTAATGAGTGAGACTCCCATAGGGTTCAGTGTTAATGGGTGAGACTCCCATAGGGTTCAGTGTTAATGAGTGAGACTCCCACAGGGTTCAGTGTTAATGAGTGAGACTCCCACAGGGTTCAGTGTTAATGAGACTCCCATAGGGTTCAGTGTTAATGGGTGAGACTCCCATAGGGTTCAGTGTTAATGAGTGAGACTCCCACAGGGTTCAGTGTTAATGAGTGAGACTCCCACAGGGTTCAGTGTTAATGAGTGAGACTCCCACAGGGTTCAGTGTTAATGAGTGAGACTCCCACAGGGTTCAGTGTTAATGAGTGAGACTCCCATAGGGTTCAGTGTTAATGAGTGAGACTCCCATAGGGTTCAGTGTTAATGAGTGAGACTCCCATAGGGTTCAGTGTTAATGAGTGAGACTCCCATAGGGTTCAGTGTTAATGGGTGAGACTCCCATAGGGTTCAGTGTTAATGAGTGAGACTCCCATAGGGTTCAGTGTTAATGAGTGAGACTCCCATAGGGTTCAGTGTTAATGGGTGAGACTCCCACAGGGTTCAGTGTTAATGGGTGAGACTCCCATAGGGTTCAGTGTTAATGGGTGAGACTCCCATAGGGTTCAGTGTTAATGAGTGAGACTCCCACAGGGTTCAGTGTTAATGAGTGAGACTCCCATAGGGTTCAGTGTTAATGAGTGAGACTCCCACAGGGTTCAGTGTTAATGAGTGAGACTCCCATAGGGTTCAGTGTTAATGAGTGAGACTCCCATAGGGTTCAGTGTTAATGGGTGAGACTCCCATAGGGTTCAGTGTTAATGAGTGAGACTCCCACAGGGTTCAGTGTTAATGAGTGAGACTCCCATAGGGTTCAGTGTTAATGAGTGAGACTCCCACAGGGTTCAGTGTTAATGGGTGAGACTCCCATAGGGTTCAGTGTTAATGAGTGAGACTCCCACAGGGTTCAGTGTTAATGAGTGAGACTCCCATAGGGTTCAGTGTTAATGAGTGAGACTCCCACAGGGTTCAGTGTTAATGGGTGGTGGTGTTGTTGTTGTGTTTAGGCCTCAACTCAGAGAGTGTCCGAGCTGGGTGTAAGAAATGTGGATACCGTGAGTAGCAAGCAACAAAATACCACCACCACTACCACCACTACCACCACTAATACACTACTACACTACCACTACTACTACACTACTACTACAATACTACACTACTACTACTACACTAATACACTACCACTACTACCACCACTACTAGTACCACTACTACCACTAATACACTACCACCACTACTACTACACTACTACTACACCACCACTACCACCACTACCACTACACTACTACACTACCACTAATACACTACCACCACTACCACTAATACACTACCACCACTACCACTAATACACTACCACCACCACTACTACTAATACACTACCACTAATACACTACCACTAATACACTACCACCACTACCACTAATACACTACCACTAATACACTACCACTAATACACTACCACCACTACCACTAATACACTACTACACTACCACTACCACTAATACACTACCACCACTACTACACTACTACAACACTACTACTACACTACTACTACTACACTACTACTACACTACTACTACACTACCACCACTACTACACTACTACTACACTACCACTAATACACTACTACACTACCACCTCTACCACTAATACACTACTACTACTACACTACCACCACTACCGCTAATACACTACCACCACTACCACCACTACCACTAATACACTACCACCACTGCCACTAATACACTACCACCACTACCACTACTACACTACTACCACTAATACACTACCACCACTACCACCACTACCACTACTACACTACCACCACTACCACTAATACACTACCACCACTACCACTACTACACTACTACCACTAATACACTACCACCACTACCACCACTACCAATACTACACTACCACCACTACCACTAATACACTACCACCACTACCACTAATACACTACTACACTACTACTACTACACTACCACTACACTACCACCACTACTACTACACTACTACTACACTACCACCACTACTACTACACTACCACCACTACTACACTACTACCACTACTACACTACTACTACTACACTACTACTACACATCACTACTAGTGAGTGAGTGTCTGAGTGAGTGAGTGACTGAGTGAGTGACTGAGTGACTGAGTGAGTGACAGAATGAGTGAGTGACTGTGTGAGTGACTGACTGAGTGAGTGACTGAGTGAGTGACTGACTGAGTGAGTGACTGAGTGAGTGAGTGACTGAGTGACTGAGTGAGTGAGTGAGTAACTAACTGACTGAGTAACTGAGTGAGTAACGGACTGACTAACTGACTGACTGACTGAGTAACTGACTGACTGACTGACTGAGTGACTGTTCGAGTGACTGAGTGAGTGTCTGAGTAATTGACTGACTGAGTGAGTGACTGACTGACTGCGTGACTGAGTGACTGACTGACTGACTGAGTGACTGACTGACTGAGTAACTGACTGAGTGACTGACTGAGTAACTGACTGAGTGACTGACTGAGTAACTAACTGACTGAGTAACTGAGTGAGTAACGGAATGACTCACTGACTGACTGAGTAACTGACTGACTGAGTAACTGACTGACTGACTGACTGAGTGACTGTTCGAGTGACTGAGTGAGTGACTGAGTAACTGACTGACTGAGTAACTGACTGACTGAGTAACTGACTGACTGAGTGACTGTTCGAGTGACTGAGTGAGTGACTGAGTAATTGACTGACTGAGTGAGTGACTGACTGACTGAGTGACTGAGTGACTGACTGACTGACTGAGTGACTGACTGACTGAGTAACTGACTGACTGACTGAGTGATTGAGTATCTGACTGAGTGACTGACTGAGTAACTGACTGACTGAGTGACTGACTAACTGACTGAGTAACTGACTGACTGAGTGACTGACTGACTGAGTAACTGACTGAGTGACTGACTGAGTGACTGACTGAGTGATTGAGTGACTAACTGACTGAGTAACTGACTGACTGACTGAGTAACTGACTGAGTGACTACCTGACTGAGTAACTGACTGACTGACTGAGTAACTGACTGACTGAGTAACTGACTGAGTGACTGACTGAGTAACTGACTGATTGAGTAACTGACTGAGTGACTGACTGACTGAGTAACTGACTGAGTGACTGACTGAGTAACTGACTGACTGAGTAACTGACTGAGTGACTGACTGAGTAACTGACTGACTGAGTGAGTGACTGAGTGACTGACTGACTGAGTAACTGACTGAGTGACTGACTGAGTGACTGACTGAGTGATTGAGTGACTAACTGACTGAGTAACTGACTGACTGACTGAGTAACTGACTGAGTGACTACCTGACTGAGTAACTGACTGACTGAGTGACTGACTGACTGAGTAACTGACTGACTGAGTGACTGTTCGAGTGACTGAGTGAGTGACTGAGTAATTGACTGACTGAGTGAGTGACTGACTGACTGCGTGACTGAGTGACTGACTGACTGAGTGATTGAGTATCTGACTGAGTGACTGACTGAGTAACTGACTGACTGAGTGACTGACTAACTGACTGAGTAATTGACTGACTGAGTGACTGACTGACTGAGTAACTGACTGAGTGACTGACTGAGTGACTGACTGAGTGATTGAGTGACTAACTGACTGAGTAACTGACTGACTGACTGAGTAACTGACTGAGTGACTACCTGACTGAGTAACTGACTGACTGAGTAACTGACTGAGTGACTGACTGAGTAACTGACTGACTGACTGACTGAGTAACTGACTGACTGAGTAACTGACTGAGTGACTGACTGAGTAACTAACTGACTGAGTAACTGACTGAGTAACTGACTGACTAACTGACTGAGTGACTGACTGACTAACTGACTGAGTGACTGACTAAGTGACTGAGTAACTAACTGACTTAGTAACTGACTGACTCACTGACTGAGTAACTGACTGACTGACTAACTGAGTGACTGAGTGACTGACTCACTGACTGAGTAACTAACTGACTGACTGACTGAGTAACTGACTGACTCACTGACTGAGTAACTGACTGACTCACTGACTGAGTAACTGAGTGACTGACTCACTGACTGAGTAACTAACTGACTGAGTGACTGACTAACTGACTGAGTGACTGACTCACTGACTGAGTGACTAACTGACTGAGTAACTGACTAACTGACTGAGTAACTGACTAACTGACTGAATAACTGACTGACTGAATAACTGAGTAACTGACTGACTAACTGACTGAGTGACTGACTGACTGACTGAGTAACTGACTGACTGACTGACTAACTGACTGACTGACTAACTGACTGAGTAACTAACTGACTAACTGAGTGACTGAATGAGTAACTAACTGACTGACTGACTGACTAACTGACTGACTAACTGACTGAGTGAGTGACTGACTGACTGACTCACTGAGTGACTAACTGACTGACTGACTGAGTAACTGACTGACTAACTAACTGAGTAACTGACTAACTGAGTGACTAACTAACTGAGTAACTGACTGACTAACTAACTGAGTAACTGACTAACTGAGTGACTAACTAACTGAGTGACTAACTGAGTAACTGACTGACTAACTAACTGAGTAACTGACTGACTAACTAACTGACTAACTGAGTAACTGACTGACTAACTAACTGAGTAACTGACTGACTAACTAACTGAGTAACTGACTGACTAACTAACTGAGTAACTGACTGACTAACTAACTGACTAACTGAGTAACTGACTGACTAACTAACTGAGTGACTAACTGAGTAACTGACTGACTAACTAACTGAGTAACTGACTGACTAACTAACTGAGTAACTGACTGACTAACTAACTGACTAACTGACTGACTGACTAACTAACTGACTGACTGAGTAACTGACTGACTAACTAACTGAGTAACTGACTGACTAACTAACTGAGTAACTGACTGACTAACTAACTGAGTAACTGACTGACTAACTAACTGACTAACTGACTGACTGACTGACTAACTAACTGACTGACTGAGTAACTGACTGACTAACTAACTGAGTAACTGACTGACTAACTAACTGAGTAACTGACTGACTAACTAACTGAGTAACTGACTAACTGAGTGACTAACTAACTGAGTGACTAACTGAGTAACTGACTGACTAACTAACTGAGTAACTGACTAACTGACTGACTCACTGACTTAGTGACTGACTAACTAACTGAGTAACTGACTGACTAACTAACTGACTAACTGAGTGACTGACTAACTAACTAACTAACTGAGTAACTGACTAACTGAGTGACTAACTAACTGAGTAACTGACTGACTAACTAACTGAGTAACTGACTAACTGAGTGACTAACTAACTGAGTGACTAACTGAGTAACTGACTGACTAACTAACTGAGTAACTGACTGACTAACTAACTGACTAACTGAGTAACTGACTGACTAACTAACTGAGTAACTGACTGACTAACTAACTGAGTAACTGACTGACTAACTAACTGAGTAACTGACTGACTAACTAACTGACTAACTGAGTAACTGACTGACTAACTAACTGAGTAACTGACTGACTAACTAACTGAGTAACTGACTGACTAACTAACTGAGTAACTGACTGACTAACTAACTGAGTAACTGACTGACTAACTAACTGACTAACTGACTGACTGACTAACTAACTGACTGACTGAGTAACTGACTGACTAACTAACTGAGTAACTGACTGACTAACTAACTGAGTAACTGACTGACTAACTAACTGACTAACTGACTGACTGACTGACTAACTAACTGACTGACTGAGTAACTGACTGACTAACTAACTGAGTAACTGACTGACTAACTAACTGAGTAACTGACTGACTAACTAACTGAGTAACTGACTAACTGAGTGACTAACTAACTGAGTGACTAACTGAGTAACTGACTGACTAACTAACTGAGTAACTGACTAACTGACTGACTCACTGACTTAGTGACTGACTAACTAACTGAGTAACTGACTGACTAACTAACTGACTAACTGAGTGACTGACTAACTAACTAACTAACTGACTGACTGACTCACTGACTGACTAACTAACTGAGTGACTAACTAACTGACTGACTGACTGTTCGAGTGAAACCGAGTTGGCGAGCCATCGTCTCCACTGTTAACCCCGCCGTGTCTCACCCCCCACCCCACCCTCACCCCCCCCACCCCCACCCCCTCCCACCCCCCCCCACCTTGTCCCACCCACCCCCCAACCTTGTCCCACCCCCAGCCGGACACTTGACGTACGAGTGCCGCAACTTTGTACGAGCCGACCCTCAGAAGGACGTGGTCCTTGACGTGAGTAGCACGAGCACAGACAGCAGTAGCAGTAGCAGCAGCGGCGATGGCGGAGGAGGCGGTGGTGGAGGTGGAGGCAGTGGAGGCGGTGGTGGTGGCGGAGGAGGAGGAGGAGGAGGAGGAGGAGGAGGAGGAGGAGGCTGTCGCCGTCGCCGCGGCGACGGCAGGGCCGGCGACGGTCGCCACGGCGACGGGAGGAAGGGGAGGAGGAGGAGGAGGAGGGAGAGGGGGGAGGGGAGCGAGGAGGAGGAGGGGGGCGGTGAGGGGGGAAAACGTGAGACGCTGTACACTGCACTGTACACTATACTGTACACTACACTACACTATACACTACACTGTACACTACACTGTACTATACACTGTACTATACACTACACTATACACTACAATACTATACATTATACACTACTATACATTATATACTACTACAATATACTATACATTATATACTATACACTATACACTACACTATACACTACACACTACACTATACACTACACTATACACTACACTATACACTACACACTACACTATACACTACACTATACACTACACTATACACTACACTGTACACTACACTATTATATACTATACACTACACTATACATTATACACTACTATACATTATATACTATACACTACACTATACACTACACTATACACTACACTGTACTATACACTACACTGTACTATACACTATACACTACACTGTACTATACTCTATACACTACACTATACTATACACTACACTGTACTATACACTATACACTGTACTATACACTACACTGTACTATACACTACACTGTACTATACACTATACATTATACACTACACTATACACTATACATTATAGACTACTATACATTATACACTACATTATACACTACAATACTATACGTTATACACTACTATACATTATATATTACTACTATATACTATACATTATATACTATACACTGTACACTACATTATACACTATACTATACACTATACACTACACTATACTATACATTATACACTACTACAATACATTATATACTACTACAATATACTATATACTATACATTATACACTACACTATACACTACACTATACTATACACTATACATTATACACTACAATACTGTACATTATACACTACATTGTACACTACATTATTATATACTATACATTATATACTACTACACTGCATTATACACTACTATACTATACATTATACACTACATTATACACTACACTACTACACTATACACTACACTATACACTACACTATACACTACACTATACACTACACTATATACTACACTACTATACACTACACTACACTATACACTACACTATACACTACACTACTATACACTACACTATACACTACACTACACTATACACTACACTATACACTACACTATACACTACACACTACACTACACACTACACTATACACTACACTATACACTACACTACTATACACTACACTATACACTACACTATACACTACATTATACACTACACTATACACTACACTACTATACACTACACTATACACTACACTACACTATACACTACACTACTATACACTACACTACTATACACTACACTATACACTACACTATACACTACACTACACCATACACTACACCATACACTACACTATACACTACACTACACACTACACTACACACTACACTATACACTACACTATAGACTACTATACACTACACTATACACTACACTATACACTACACTACACACTACACTACACACTACACTACACTATACACTACACTATACACTACACTATACACTACACTACTATACACTACACTACACTATACACTACACTATACACTACACTACTATACACTACACTATACACTACACTACTATACACTACACTATACACTACACTATACACTACACTATACACTACACTACACACTACACTACACACTACACTATACACTACACTATACACTACACTATACACTACTATACACTACACTATACACTACACTATACACTACACTACACTATACACTACACTATACACTACACACTACACTATACACTACACTATACACTACTATACACTACACTATACACTACACTATACACTACACTATACACTACTATACACTACACTATACACTACACTATACACTACACTATACACTACTATACACTACACTATACACTACACTACTATACACTACACTACACACTACACTATACACTACACTATACACTACACTACTATACACTACACTATACACTACTATACACTACACTATACACTACACTATACACTACACTATACACTACTATACACTACACTACACACTACACTATACACTACACTATACACTACACTATACACTACACTACACTATACACTACACTATACACTACACACTACACTATACACTACACTATACACTACTATACACTACACTATACACTACACTATACACTACACTATACACTACTATACACTACACTATACACTACACTATACACTACACTATACACTACTATACACTACACTATACACTACACTACTATACACTACACTACACACTACACTATACACTACACTATACACTACACTACTATACACTACACTATACACTACTATACACTACACTATACACTACACTATACACTACACTATACACTACACTATACACTACTATACACTACACTACACACTACACTATACACTACACTATACACTACACTATACACTACACACACCACTACACTACTATACACTACACTATACACTACACTATACACTACACTATACACTACACTACTCTACACTACACTATACACTACACTACTATACACTACACTACTATACACCACACTACACTACACACTACACTACTATACACTACAAACTACACTACTATACACCACACTACACTACTATACACTACACACTACACTACTACACTGTACACTACTACACACCACTACACTACACTACTACACTATACACTACACTACACTATACACTACTACACACTACTACTACACTATACACTACACACTACACTATACACTACTACACACTACTACTACACTATACACTACACACTACACTACACACTACACTACTACTACACTATACACTACACACTACACTATACACTACACTATACACTACACTACTACACTATACACTACACACACCACTACACACTACTACACTACACTACACACTACACTACTATACACTACACTATACACTACACTACTATACACTACACTATATACTACACTACACTATACACTACACACACCACTACACTACACACTACACACCACACTTTGTGATTAACGAATCCTCACGGTTGCTCACGGAGATCTCCAAACCGACATTCACTGCTCCCGCTGTCTTGGCCCTGTGCTTTGGGCGATGGTCTTGCTGGGAGAGCAATCCACGCACCCACTATTTCAATGGCCTCGCCGAGGGAAGGAGGTTCTCAACGCAGAGATTTTCACCGTGCGTGTGACACACAGACACACACACAGACACACACCCACAGACACACACACACAGACACACACACAGACACACACACACAGACACACACACAGACACACACACACACACACAGACACACACACACACCACACACACTACACACACATACACAGATACACACACACACACAGACACACACACACACACACACCCACACACACAGACACACACACACCACACACACACAGCTACACACACCACACACACACCACACACACACCACACACACACCACACACACACCACACACACACCACACACACCACACACACACAGTGACACACACAGACACACACAGACACACACACCACACACCCCGTGTCTAAGCACGACGTTTCAACGTCCTGTGTTGTGACAGTCGGGGACGGGTTTCTTATGGAGAGGGGTCATAGACAGCATTGTTGAGGTTGTGGTGAATGTGGCTATTGTGGCTGTTGTTGATTATGTGGTTGTTGTGGTGGTGGTTGTTGTGGTTGTTGTGGTGGTGGTTGTTGTTGTGGTGGTTGTTGTGGTTGTTGTGGTGGTGGTTGTTGTGGTGGTGGTTGTTGTGGTTGTTGTGGTGGTGGTGGTGGTTGTTGTTGTGGTGGTTGTTGTGGTGGTGGTTTAGGTTGTTGTTGATGTTGTTGTGATTGTTGTGGATGTTGTGGTTGTTGTGGTGATGGTGGTGGTTGTTGATGTTGTTGATGTTGTGGTGATGGTGGTGGTGATGGTGGTGGTGATGGTTGTTGTTGTTGTGGTTGTTGTTGTGGTGGTTTAGGTTGTTGTTGATGTTGTGGTTGTTGTTGTGGTGGTGGTGGTTGTTGATGTTGTGGTGGTTGTGGTGGTGGTGGTTGTTGTTGATGTTATGGTGGTGATGGTTGTTGTTGTGGTTGTTGTTGTGGTGGTTTAGGTTGTTGTTGATGTTGTTGTGGTGGTGGTGGTTGTTGTTGTGGTTGTGGTGGTTGTTGTGGTGGTGATGGTGGTTGTTGTTGTGGTTGTTGTAGTTGTTGTTGTGGTGGTGATGGTGGTTGTTGTTGATGTTGCGGTTGTTGTGGTGGTGGTGATGTTGTGGTTGTTGTTTATGTTGTGGTGGTGATGGTGGTTGTTGTTGTTGTTGTGATGGTGGTTGTTGTTGATGGTGTTGTGGTTGTTGTTGTTGTGATGGTGGTTGTTGTTGATGGTGTTGTGGTTGTTGTGGTGGTGGTGGTGGTTGTTGTTGTGGTGGTGATGGTGGTGGTTGTTGTTGATGTTGTGGTGGTTGTGGTTGTTGTTGTTGATGTTGTTGTGGTGGTGATGGTGGTGGTGGTTGTTGTTGTGGTTGTTGTTGTGGTGGTGGTTGTTGTGGTGGTGATGGTGGTTGTTGATGTTGTTGTGGTGGTGGTTGTTGTGGTGGTGATGGTGGTTGTTGTTGTTGTTTTCAGGACATTCCAGCCGACACCAACAACGATGCAGGAGAGAGAAACACAGAGACACAGAGACACACAGGTGAGTGGTGAGCGGTGAGTGAGTGGTGAGTGGTGAGTGGGTGGTGAGTGGGTGGGTGG